TGCAACTCCAGAATTGAACACAGTAAGAAGACATACATAAAGAACAGAAGGTAGAACAAACAGAAGTAAAACCAATCCCTCTACCCCTGAATAACAGAATTAAAGAAGACGGTGATGTGGAAGGAAGGAAAAAGTAGGGAGGGGGAAAAAAAACCGCACAAATGAAGAAAAATCAAAAGAAGAATATAGGTCTCACACAGACCCCTGGGAGAACAGACTGAGAAAACAGATTGCGGAACACAAACAATGAAGAGCCCCCAGAATGGCTGGTCACACGCAACAAACCCAGACATCAAGACATTAGAGAGAATTTTTAAAAATTGAGGAGAGACAAGAAGAAAACAGGAAGGAGTTGATATCAGAAATAACAGCAGTAAAGAATACTGTGATGGAAATAAATAACAAACTAATAAGCATGGAAAGCAGAATTAGCCAAGCAGAAGAAAGAATCTCAGGGCTCAAAGACCAAAACACAGAACTAACCCAGACTGTTAAAAGCATAGAAAAGAAGCTCAAAAAGACAGAACAAAACCTTCAAGAGATGAATGATCACTTCAAGAGACCGAGCCTAAGAGTAATTGGCCTTCCTGAGGGAGAGAAACAGAGGCCACACTGGAACAAACATTTCATGAAATCATTCAAGAAAACTTCCCTTATCTCGTCAAGGATGAAAAAAATTCAAACAAGAGATTCAGAGAACCCCTACAAGGCAACAAATGAGAAGACCAACTTCCGGACATATAATAATTCACCTAAACAAAGTAGGTATAAAAGAAAAAATCCTAAAGGCTGCAAGAGAAAAAGGTCAGACTAACCCTAACCCTAACCCTAACCCAACATTCGTAAAACCATAAATGTAATTAAATACATTAACAGATGTCAAAACAAAAACCGCATGATTATATCATTAGATGTAGAAAAAGCTTTTGATAAAATCCAGCACCGCTTCTTGAGAAAAACCCTCAAACATCTAGGCATACGGGGAACATACCTCAAAATAGTAAAAGCTATCTATGAGAAACCCACAGCCAGCATACTCCTAAACGGACAAAGGCTGGAACCACTTCCCCTGAAAACTGGAACAAGACAAGGATGCCCACTCTCACCCCTCCTGTTCAATATAGTATTGGAAGTCCTGGCTAGAGCAATCAGAGAAAAGAAGGCAATCAGGGGTATTCAAATAGGAAAAGAGGAAGTCAAGCTATCTCTCTTTGCAGATGACATGATCGTGTACCTTGAAAACCCAAGAGAATCTGTCAAAAAGCTCCTTACACTGATAAAGGACTTTGGCAAATTCTCAGGATATAAAATAAATGTGCAAAAGACAATCACATTTCTTTACACCAATAATAAACAAACAGAAACCTAAATAAAAAGCACAATTCCATTCACAATAGCCACAAAAAAAATGAAATACCTTGGCATCTTCCTAACCCGAAACGTGAAAGACCTTTACAATGAAAACTACAAAACACTGCTCAAAGAAATCAAAGATGACACAAACAAGTGGAAAAATATCCCATGCTCATGGATTGGAAGAATCAACATTGTGAAGATGTCCATCTTACCTAAGGCAATCTACAGATTTAATGCGATACTCATCAAATTACCAGCAACATTCTTCTCAGACCTAGAAAAAACAACACAGGAATTCATATGGAAATACAAACGACCAAGAATAGCCAGAACAATCCTCAGGAAAAAAAAAAAAAAAAAAAAAAAACAATAAAGCAGGTGGTATCACATTACCAGACTTCAAACTTTACTATAAAGCTACAATAATCAAAACAGCTTGGTATTGGTACAGGAACAGGCATATAGACCAATGGAATAAAATTGAGATTCCAAAAGCAAAACCTCAATTTCTCAACCAACTCATCTTCAACAAAGCCTCCACCACCTATCACTGGGGAGAGGAGAACCTATTCAGTAAATGGTGCTGGGAAAACTGGCTGACCACATGCAGAAGATTGAAACAGGACCCCATCTGTCCCCATACACAAAAATTAACTCTAAATGGATCAGAGACCTAAATGTAAAAACCTCAAATCATAAGAACCTTAGAAAATGAAGGACATACCCTCATGGAAATTGGGACTGGCATCCAATTCCTGAACAAAACCTGAAACCCACAGGCCATAAGAGATAAGATAGACAAGTGGGACCTCATTAAACTGACAAGCTTCTGCAAAGCCAAAGACACCATCAAGAGAGCAGGGAGACAGCCTACAGACTGGCAAAAAGTATTTGCCAACTCCAGGTCTGACAAAGGCTTAACATCTTGGATCTACAGGGAACTCAAATGTGCTGAGAAGAGAAAAACAAACAACCCCATTATAAAATGGGCAAAAGATATGAACAGACACTTCACAAAGAAAGACATCTGAGCAGCCAACAGACACATGAAGAAATGTTCAACCTCACTAAATCATCAGGGAGATGCAAATCAAAACCACACTGAGATACCACCTAACTCCAGTCAGAATGGCAATTATCAATAACAAAAAAGAACAGTTGATGGAGAGGGTGTGGCAAAAAGGGAACACTTCTACACTGTTGGTGGGAGTGCAAACTAGTACAACCTCTGTGGAAAACAGTATGGTGATTCCTAAAAGTTCTACATATTGACCTCCCATATGAGCCCGCAATCGCCCTACTGGGAATATACCCTGAAGAACTCAAATCACTCTATAAAAAAGATACCTGCACACGTATGTTTATCGCAGCGTTGTTCACAATAGCAAGAACTTGGAAGCAACCATGCTGTCCATCAAAAGAGGACTGGATTAACAAAATGTGGTACATATACAAGATGGAATACTACACAGCCATAAAAAAGAACAAAATCATGAATTTTGCAGCAACCTGGATGGAATCAGAGTCTGTAATACTGAGTGATCTCTCACAGAAACAAAGATCTGAGTGTCGCATGTTCTCACTCATATAGTGGACCTTGAACATCCAACGTAATACTATAAGAAAATGACTGACAGTTGTGGGAAACTATGGGGGGAGGGGAAGGGAGA